AACTCCTTCCTCAGAAAAGAAACTCAATCCTCCCTCTGTGTTCTAGATCTAACCTCCTCCTGTCTTTTCCAAGACTCTGCTCAATCATATTTTCCTTGTATTTTTCTCCTTCCTGTACTTCAACCACCCTCTCCTCTGGCTTCTTTCCTTCAGCATGTAAGATATGTCATTAAGAAAACAGGTCTCTCTGTGGTATCTACTCAATTTCCTTAAGGATCCTTAGTTCAGTGGCAGCAGTTTCTGCTGTAATTTCTGACCCACAGAGAAGAGCAATCACAAAGTTCTTCATGGATGATGGGGCTCCCCTCATAAATTTATTTCTGTCATGGTGAAAGGTATCTCATCCAGACCCTCCCAGAATGGGTAAATTGGTCTTACATGGTAAAGCCACTCTACCATTCCAATCTCCCAAGGCCTCTGGATTCCTTCCTCTAGTATACAAGGCAAGTCTGGTATTTTAACTTCATGTAGCATGGGTCCCCTTTTGGTCCATGTTTTAGCCAACTAAACTGTCAGAAGCCCTTAACTCTCTCAAGCTATAACAGTGAATCCAGAATCTTAGCTTAGTGGTCCCTATATCAATAAATTTGGCCTGGTCCAACTTTATGTTCCTTCTATCATTATCCCACACTTTAATATCCAATCCCAGAAAAACTCCCCAGATTCCTATGTGTATAATAAATAATCATGTGGTTTTTAGAGTGCAACACACCTCCTCATGGGATACACTTTGAGGCTTCTCTTTGAGGGCTTCCTAGGACTTGAGTCTAGCAGCAGGGAAGCGTAGTAGGGTAGTTCCTAAGGAGAACCAGCTATCTTGCAAGGCAAATACCTCATGAAGGCCATTACAGGTACTTCACACAAAGCACGGCTCAATTCTCAAAAAGGAGTGGAAAGGCTGCTTTTACTGGCAAAGACAATGGATTGAAATTTAGGGGTTCAGTACCCCCATTCCAAATTTAAAGATTGCATTCCTTCTCAATCAATGCCCTCATTTTAATACCAGGTACTCTGTTAGATGGGGAATTCATTTTACATTGTAACTGAGCCATTTTGCAGGATGAGACTCTAGGTTTGGTTTCCAGCAGTCTCAGCTCTGCATCTACAGGAGATGAGTTTCTTTAGGGCAGACATAAAAACTTTCAGGTTATTTACACAGAGCTTGAGTTGCGAATCTAAAGACCTGAGCTCATCCTTTTCTTTCCTCTTTCGCCAGCACAGTTAGCAGCCAGCAGTCAACAGCCAGTCTCATACTTGTTAATTTGACCAAAAATGTTTTAAGTCATCAAATATGTGATCATCCCATCCAGAACCTTAAGATGGTAATGTTCTGTGTTCTGTATGTCTCTATTGCCACATCACATCACGGGCTACCAGTGTCCTTGTTACCACTGGAAATAGTCTTTAGTGCCTTTACATCTAACCTGATTAGGGAACCAATTCCAAGAACACCACAGCCGATTCAAAAAACTCATCTTTAAGAATCTGTTCCTCTAGAACCACTCTCAGTGCCAAAATCTGAATCAGACAAGTTTCTCCAGGGATACAAAACCAACAGGAAATAATACATAAATATATCTCTATCTATCTGTCTTTAGGTTTATCTATATTTGGATGAATGGATATTTATTTCTAAGTATTAGAAATCTATTATTAGATCATTCACCTAAGTAAATACAGATTTATTTTAAGGAACTGGCTCACAAAATTATGGGGGCCAGCAACTCTGAAATGTGTAGGGCAGATTTGCAGATTAGAAACTGGCAGAAATCAATGCTGTAGTCTTGAGGAAGAAGTTTTTCTTCTTGAGACACCTCAGTTTAAAATTCAGGCCTTCGATTGATCGGACGAGGCCCACTCACATTATTGAGGGTACAATCCTTTACTTAAAGTCAGTTGATTACAGATGTTGACCACATGTTAAAATACCACCACCATAACACCTAGATTAGTGTTTGATTAAATAGATAGTACAGCCTACTCAAGTTGACATATAAAACTAACCAATCACACATAATGAAATTAGATTTCTCAACCAAATCTTACTTTCAACTATACCAAAAACATTCAGAACAAGAATATCTTATGTGCTCCAAAAAGGCAATAAAATTTAAGCAGGACCACTCTGCTGAATGGATTGGCACAACAGTCCCTCCGCAAGCCTGGAGAAACAAACCCTCCATAAGCCACCTCTCTCCCACCTCCAAGGACACTGTGCTTAGGAAGTTGCAAGACTATATCTACATTTAAAAAAATTTTATGCTTCAAAAATGTGATCTCCAACTGCATAACAGAAATTACACTTTAAGATTATACTTCTGTGTGCTGTCCCTTTGGAAACTAAGGACTTAAAAGGAGGCATGGTATCTACTGAATCTGTTGCTTACCTTTACTTTAAGTAGAAAATTTGCAAGTTACTACTCCATTTTCTGTTACTGACAAAAATACAATCCAAACCAAGAGAATCCAAAGCAGGCAGGGTGAGTAATGAGCCAAATAACCAAAGTAGTACAAAAAGAAATCTTATATGTGGATTGAAATAAACCCTATATGACCCTTAAAAAAATTTTTTTTTTAAAGCTTTTCTTGGCAACTCATTCAATCAATAAGCACCCAGCTATGCCAGGCACTATTCAAAGCACTCAGGTTAAATCACTGAACAAAAGTGATGATCTTTGCCTTGTTGCAGCTCACACTGTAGTGAGATAACATTGAGTTATTTTTTCTCTAAATATAATAACCCATGCAATTATATATATAACCCAGCTGCATGACTTTGGCCAAATTACTCAAGCCTCATTTAAAAACAAAACAAAACAAAACAAAAAACCAAAAAACAAAAAACCTACCCCCTCCCTCCCCCACTGGATTACTAAGAACTAAATCAGTTCAAATATGTATAGAACTTAGTCTGGCACATAGAAGCTACCAAAATATTAACTATTATTTTAATGCAACTTTCAGAAAACCAGATATTACTCAGGCAATAATGGGGGAAAATAACACCAACAGTAGTTTTAAAGCATTTTTATCTGGCCATTCACTCCTTCCTTACCACTGCACAAGAGTTCTCCTATTCTCCACTCAATTTGCATGATTTTCAGTGAAGATTGATAAAAATCATAAAACGCGATCTCTATATATCCCATGCAAGACATATATTCATGGTGGAGTTTGTGCAAACTCATAGTTAAGAGGCTTTTAATCTAATGAAAAAATGTCTTTAGAAGTCAAAGTTAGATTCATTTTCCCTAAAATTACAACAGCACTTATCTCTAGGAACTTGAGCATCAGAACCAGCAACATGGGCTGTCCTCGCCTCGTTCTAAGGGGTGGGTATGCACACAGCACACCAGTCCTAGGACCTACACTTTCGTAGTTGTCCATCCTCGAGAACGGACACTCTCAACACCGCTCACGCACATAATAAAGGATCCAAGTGCAGGCATCTGAAACCGAGAGCTCGTCCTCATTTGTTAAAAATAGGCCTCGTCCTGGTCCAGGAATGGCTGGCTCACTGCGGGCCAACCACGCAGCAAGGCTGATGCCCACCGTGCGGAGGGGGCTCGACCGCGAAGTACCCGCCGCAAACCTGGCCGCCTCCAACGCCAAGTCCCATTACCTAACTACCTCCGGGCAGGTAGGCCAGGAGATCACGTCTTCAAGACAGCTTCTCAGGGGATCGATCTGGGAAAGGATTCAAGGTGAACCGCAAATCTAATCACACGGCTTTTACGCCCTCAAGGTGGAGACGCGCTCAGGCCAAATGGCATTAAAACGCAAACGCATCAGGAGCCCCAGTTCACAGGGAGTTCTGACCCTACGTCTCAGGAGGGAAGACCTGAGCCAGGGAGCTTCCGACTTTCAGAACAGGGGGTGCCTTGGGCTGTAGCGGAGCCCTGGGAGATCTAGGAGACCTGGAGACGTAGGAGATCTGGGAGATCTGGAAGACCTGGGAAATCTGGGAAAACTGGGAAACCTGAGAGATCTAGGAGATCTGGGAGACCTGAGAAATCTAGGAGATCTGGGAGATCTAGGAGACCTGGAGATCTGGAAGACCTGGAAATCTGGAAACGGGAAACCTGAGAGATCTAGGAGATCTGGGAGACCTGAGAGATCTGGGAGTCCTGAGAGATCTAGGAGATCTGGAAGACCTGGGAGACCTGGGAGATCTAGGAGATCTGGGAGACCTGAGAAATCTAGGAGATCTGGGAGATCTAGGAGACCTGGGAGACCCCGGGAGATGAGAGATCTAGGAGATCTGGGAGACCTGAGAGATCTGGGAGTCCTGAGAGATCTAGGAGATCTGGAAGACCTGGGAGATCTAGGAGATCTGGGAGACCTGAGAAATCTAGGAGATCTGGGAGATCTAGGAGACCTGGGAGACCCCGGGAGATCTAGGAGATCTGGGAGACCTGAGAGATTTAGGAGATCTGGGAGACCTGAGAGATTTAGGAGATCTGGGAGATCAGGGCGAACTGGGAGATCTAGGAGACTGGGAAACCTCGGTGACCTGGGAGATCTGGGAGACTCGGGAGATCTGGGAGATCCCGAGAGATCTAGATCTGGGAGACCTGAGAGATCTCGGAGACTGGGAGACCTCGGTGACCTGGGAGATCTGGGAGACCCGGAGACCGGAGGCCTGCGGACGTGCGGAGTCAGGCGGTCCGTCCCGTCCCCGCAAGCGTGCCTGGCATCCCCCGGCATCCCCCGGCATCCCCCGGAGGCCGCAGGGTCGAGCCAGGGCCCGCTGCCTTCGAGGACGACTCTACGGCGCGGCTCCCCGGCCCCTCGGCAGCCGTGCTCCGACGGAGGGCAGAGCGGAGGGAGGCCCGGACCGGAGCCGCTCCAGTCCCCCAGGCCCGGCTCGGCCAGAGGAGGGCGGGGGCTGCGCGGCGCGCGCGGCGGACCCCGGCGGGGGGGGGCGGGGGCGGGGGCGCGCCCCGCGGGCAGGTGCCCGACCCCTCCCGCAGCTGTCGGCGCTCTGGGGCCCAGGCTACCTCTCAGGAGGCTGACGCCCCCGCCGGGTCCCGTCCCGCCGCACGGGCCGAAAGGCAGGTCTCCGAAGCCGCAGCGGAGTCACCGGGACAGTGACCCGGTCGAGCGCGGGTCAGGGCGCCGGAAGCCACGGGGCCACCCCTCGCCGGCCCTCCCTGGCCTCCGCGGCCGCCCGCCCTCCCGCCGCGCCCACCAACGGCGTGCGTGCGGCGGCCCATGCGGCACCGCGCGGTCTCGCCAGGCCCCGCGCGCGGCACGACGGAACTCGTAGTTCCGGCGCGAGGCTCGCGCGGCGCTCGCTCCTCCGGCCGGCGACCGCGGCGTCAAGGGGCGGGCCCCGCCCCCCCCGCCCCGGAAGTGGTGTCACAGCACGCGCGCGGCGCGGCCGGCCGCTTCCGCAAACAGAGCCGTGGCCGCCTGCGTGGGTGAGTGAGTGCGGCGCCCGGCGCTCCGGCCGCTCTTTGTTTCCAGCCGCCCCGCGGCCGCCGCGGCCCCGGGGCCCCTCGCGCTCGCGACGCGGCTCGCACGCGGACGGGGCTGGGCGGGCGGGGGGCGGCGGGGCCCGGGGGCAGCGGGGGGGGGAGGGGCGGCGCAGGTGCAGCCCAGCGAGGCCGGGCCCGTGACCTCGGGGTGCTCCGGGCGGCGGTCCGCTCGGCCCAACGGGGTCGCCCTGGGCCGCGGGGCGTCGCGGAGCCCGGGCCGCTCGGGTCGCTGCGGCAGCGGCTCCCGGAGACGGCGCCTCCGCCTCGCGCGCTCCTCTGACTCCGCTCTTCCCGGCTGGCGGCGTCGCCCTCGCTGCCTGCGCCCGGGCCCGCAGCTGCGACCCCCGGAGCCCCCCGCTGCCTGCCGCTTCCCGCCCGGAGCCCCGTAACGTTCCGGTTATGAATTTGCTGAGTCTCCCCAGGCTTCGGGCTCCCGGCTCCCCCTTCTACGTTTGGTTCCAGTAACACAGCCTCACGCCTTAAAACTGCTGTCTAGGGTGTAAGCTTTTTTTTTTTTTTTTAAGATTTTATTCATTCATGAGAGAGGCAGAGACCCAGGCAGGGAGACGCAGAGACAGACACAGGTAGACGGAGACAGAGAGGCAGAGACACAGAGGGACACGCAGAGACAGGTAGGCACAGAGACACAGACAGCCAGACAGAGACACAGGGAGACACAGGCAGAGGGAGACACACAGAAAGAGACAGGCAGAGACAGGCAGATGGAGACTCAGAGACAGGGAGACACAGAGACAAAGGTCGACGGAGACAGAGAGGCAGAGACACAGGCAGAGGGAGACAGAGAGATGGCAGACAGAGGCAGAGACACAGGAGACACAGAAACACAGATGGAGACAGAGGCAGAGATACAGGCAGAGGGAGACACAGAGAAACAGGCAGAGACAGGCAGACGGAGACTCAGAGACAGGGAGACAGAGGCAGAGACACAGGCAGAGGGAGACAGAGAGATGGCAGAGAGAGAGGCAGAGACACAGGGAGACACAGAAACACAGACGGAGACAGAGAGGCAGAGATACAGGCAGAGGGAGACACACAGAGAGAAACAGAGGCAGAGACAGGCAGACGGAGACTCAGAGAGGGAGACACAGAGACACAGGTCGAGGGAGACAGAGAGGCAGAGACACAGGCAGAGGGAGACACAGACACAGAGAGGCAGAGACATAGATAAAGAGGGAGAGACCCAGGCAGAGGGACACACAGGCTCCCTGCAGGGAGCTCAATGCCGGCCTCCATCCTGGGACCTGGGGTCATGCCGTGGGCCACAGGCAGGCACTCAACTGCCGAGCCCCCCGAGACCCCATGGCTGTGAGCCTCATGGACACGAATCACCCAGTGCCCTGAGGTCCTCTGTAGTAGGAAGGACAGTGGGATCATGGAACAACCTTAGTAAGTCCCTGCCCCATAGCTCTTACTCCTCCGTCCCTTCCATTTTACACACAGGCCCATGAGCATTTGAAGGAGACTCAATAGTAAGTTGCAGACCAGGTTTCCAGACCTCTTGTCCAAAGCTATCTCTACTCTCTTTCTAAATCAGGCACCCACTATGAAGTAAGCATTTCAGAAGTCAACCTTCGGTTCCCAGACTTTTCCTGTTCCTGGTACCTTTAGTGTTTATGATTTCTTTTTTTTTTTTTCCAGTGTCACTAGGCCAGAAGAAACACCCAGCAGTTCCACTTATAAGTAGTTCAGTCTAAAGAATTTAGTATTTATGTTTTAACGACTTTGTCTAAAAACTAATACACAAATTAAAAGGAAAAAATAGTATTTGTGTCTAATTCTTAGTTAGCCCTAAGTGCTTCCTGGTGGGATGTGTACCCCTGTTGGGTACTGTCCAGTTTCTCAAGCTGTGAGATCAGATTTGACGTTGCCAACTTCGTTTGCAGTTTCACATTGATTTCCTTTGGAATCCCCCAAAATACCAGCTTCGCACAAGTGCTACTGTCATTGAAAGGAATGCAGTGCTCTCTACTCTGTGGAAACTGCTCTATGTGAAGCTGTATTGCTTAGAGTTTTAGAATACCCTGCTGTACCTGTACAAGTTTGTCACAGCGTCCAGCTCACAGTTTGAGAACCCAGGCTATAAAGTAAGAATCCAAACAGAAATGGAACAAATGCTTGTCTAAAACATCTGTCCGTTTCAGTGCCAGTAATGACTTAGGGGTAAGATCATACGTATGTTTAGGGATTATAATTGGTATTTCCATATTAAAATATTCAGAGGTTCATATGTGACATATATCAGTTAATGATTTCAGTATTCTCTCTATAATGAGATTTATTTAAACTCCTAGCTGATTACTGAATTAAATGGCTAGCTTCTGGTTAAAATTGTTTTAAACTTTCAGCATTAGTGTTTGTATGAGTAAAATCAAATTTTTGCCATTCCAGTCTTAGTTCATGAAGTTTTGCCACCTACTTAAGTAATCAAAAATGGAAAATTCTGCAAAAGCAGAAGAGTGTGAAAAGCTCTCTCTCGAAGAGGCAAAAGCATCAAAAGATTTGGAAGCAAAGTCTTCATTCAGTATTAATGAAAACACAACCACTCCTGGGACTGGACTTTCTGAAAAGGCTCCTGTCTGGGGACAGGCAGATGCACCGAAAAAGAGAAAAATGGAATTTGAAGATGATCTTATAAAGGAAAGTTCTAGTTGTGGGGAAGATACTCCAACCAAGAAAAGAAAACTTGATGCTGAAATTGTCCCAGAGGAAAAAGGTTCTGGTGATGATGAGGGCATTTCAAGGAAAAGAAGAATGGAAACTGGTGATTTTCCAAAAGATGAACCTTCTACTGGAGATGGCACACAGAAGAAGAGAAAAATAGAACTTGAGGATGTTCCTGAAAAGCAAAAAGTATGTTGAATGTATTTTTTTTAATTCATAATGGAATGTGTCTAATTGAATTGTGAAATAATACTAATTTTTATGTAACCTTAAACTTTAATGTTCTATTTGTAAGGGATAATGTCTTAAGATAGAGTAGGCTTTTAACTCTTGTAATTTAGTTGCTTTTATTTAGGTGAAACTTCTAATTGAGATAATTTTTATATTATTTAAGAACGCTTTTACTCAACTAGAAACTTGAAAGCCAGTTATTTGCTTTTTCTCAGCATTTTAAGAAAGTCGAGTTATAAGTTCCTGTTGATATCTTTTTTTTTCCTTTTTTATTAAATGTTTCATCATTGTGTCATAAGTAGTAGAGACTAAGACTTAAAAGAATAAATTTCAACTATATACTCAGCTTTAATGTGATTCCTTAAACTATATTGTTTGAGCTTCTCGTTGGGGTAGCTACATAGAATTTTAAGCCTGATATTTAGGATGGATATTACAGAACAGGGGATAGCAAGTCATTTTCATCTGGGAATGCCATAACAGGAGGGACTCTGAGGCAGAACCTGAATTTGAATGGAAGGAGTACTTCAGTGAATGGCGCAGAGTGAAGCGTTAGGCTATAGGCTTTTGTCATTGGTAGGATCTCAATCCATGTAACGGAGGAGCTGGTATTACACACACAGTTTCCCAACTTTACTAGCGACAGAACCCTTTTTTTCCCAGTGAAAATCTTAAACCTGATATGTAAGATGGGTAAAAGATGAAGCACTTTTGTTGAACAGGGAAGTGTGGGGATTTGAAGCACTTTACCTACCATGGCATTTAGAATGCTTGGTGTATTAGGTAGGGAGTACACACAGAAGCTGTTGAATTAGATTAAAAGAAAAAAACCCGAAAATCACGGACACTGAGCGTAGCTTAATGAGTTCTAATTCCTTTGTGTATCTCATTCAATTCTTACAATAATTTTATATGATAATATAAATATAACTTTTATTCTCTTGTAGGAACCTGACATTTATTGAATTGAGTAAATTAGAACTCTGGAAGAGTACTGGTTTTATTAAGACATTGACACCAAAATTATACAGATGAAAGATAAAGATGAAAATTTTAAACCAAGAGGTGTTTTTAAAAATAGGGAAGAGGGGAGAACAAATCTTACGTCTGATTATAATTAATAGGATTTCTCTCATCAATGCCATTTCTTATTGAAGATTACCAATTTCATTTGTATTTTGTCCTTACGTAGATCATATGCACTTTTAGGCTTATAGTTGCCATGTTCTGATGCTTAATTTTCTTCCATTCTCTTATTTTCAGAACTTAGAAGAAGGACACAGTTCAGCAGTGGCTGCCCACTATAATGAACTACAGGAAGTTGGTTTGGAGAAGCGTAGCCAAAGTCGTATTTTTTACCTAAGAAACTTTAATAATTGGATGAAAAGTGTCCTCATTGGTATGATTGATTTTTGTTTTATGATTTGGAGTTCAGCTTATGTTTCATATTTTTTCTTCCCAAATGGTAATTGATATGCTAAACTATTAGGTTCTTAATTCCTTCATTTAATTATCAGACTTTCACTTTATAAAACTGCAGCAAAAATTAAAACAAGGCCTTCAAGATAAATTCTTTTCGTATTTAAATTTGGACTACATAAGATATTTGTGAGTGTTTAATTGATATTAAGTTCATAAGTTAATTAGGCAGTGTGCTTCTTTTATACTTAAAGTTACTTAGTGCTATTAAATAATTATTCTATTTTACTCTAATAGTTTTGGAGTAGTGGCAAAATGTTGGATTAAGTATTCAGTTTCGATTATGTAAAGAAAATGGATGGTGTCATGGTTTTTTACCGCTAG